TCTCCACAACCGGCGGACTCTTTAAACGGGCTAACTCGCCATTAAAATATCCCCAACTTTTACGACCGCTCGTAATCCCCGCGCTCTCGAAAATTCCATTTATGCGAGGGACTCTAGCGAGGATTAGTCCACGCGTAACTCTCGCTCGTTAGGCTTTATCGCTCGAGCAAATCGGCGACACGAAACCTCTGCGCGCAAAAAAAAAAACGGGACAACTGGAGCGAGAGGGGGAGAGAGAGAGGGTTGATCGGGACGGATGTTAAAAGTGAGAGCAGTTTGGAAGACTAATGTTCCGAATTGAGAGAGAGAGAGGGCCTCCGCGTACCAGAAGAGGGAAACGACGTGCTGTCTCTGTTATTGTCTTTAGCGGCCCGTTAAAAAACCGTATTTACCCGTGACAGGCGCCATCGGTCTGCTCGCGCCTCCTCTTTTTCTCTGTCCTCCTTTCTCCTTCCTTTTTTCCACGTTTATCCCTCTTGTAGCCAGGATAAAACCGGCACGAGGAGCCTATTAATAGAGAACACATGTCTCGTGGTGAGACTCTCGTGGACCCATTATCGCCCGCACGATTTTACATCATTACGCGTAATTGGAAAATCTCACGCGGCTCTTCCGCCGCTCCAGATTTATCCCCGCGTTTCGATTAAACGGGGGGAATCCCTTAAGGGATCGTTTTAATCGCGATCGCGTGGCCCGTAAAATTCGCGTTATTTACAGTGGCCTTTATAATTTTCTAATTTCCCGCCGGCTGCGTTTCTGTTAAATCACCTTAGTATCGAGCGCAGTGCGTCTCGAAACAGAGAGGAGAGAGAATTTAATCTAAAGTAATAATTATTTAGCGGGACCAAACCACCGGAAGGAAGACGTCCGACACTGTAAGAGAAAGGGTTGCACGGCGCACATGCAGATCCCGCGAGTTTCGAAGGAAAGCCTCGAACCAGTTTTTGCTCGCGTCCTCTCGTCTGGCTTTACAGGGTGTTAAACGCATCAGCCGTCCTTAATTGAATTTCCTCCCTCTCTCGCTTCTCTTCTCGGTCTCCTCTCGCCGAGATGTAACTAACGAAATTGCAGTAAACATTTTGTCTGTCCCACGTTGCTCCTTGACCGAACTGCTACGGGTTTCTCGGCTCCTTCGTGGAAATTAAGACGGGGAGGACTCTTTGTCTTCTGTTCCATGACGGTTTGTATCTCTTTCCCCTCCTCTGCTCCTCCAGCCCTCTCCAGGCTTCGATCTACGGGCGTTGCTTCTTCTCCATCCTGATCCGACGATTTTCGAGAATCATGCTTAACGTAACCGGGAAATTACGTCCCTTTAAATTCACTCAGGGCGAAAGGACGTTTTAAACATCGAAAAGATTGCCTTATCTGCAGTATCGGGGCCATGCCCAAAAATAGGAAGAATAGAGAGGGAGTGATTGGCGTAGCGCGCAAAGCCGAAGTTCGATTCCAGTTGGGTCTCTCAATATTTTTCCGTCGTCGGTTCCTACATGTCATTTTCACATTCTCTCGGTAATTTTTAACGAAACTCCTCTAAGACCTCGAGCCCCGCAAGTCGCGATCGTATCGTGAAAAGCAGAGGAGACCGGGCTAAGAGGTGTAATACCTTACTATTATATATAGAATGAGCAAATACTGTTTACTGATATCTCCTACACGTTTCACCAATATATTTTTCTATATTTTTTTCTACACCTTTCACCAATATATTCTGGACGTTTCGCTTACGACGAAATAACGAATGCGAATAGTTTTTTAAAATAAACAAAGACTTGTTTTAATTTGTCGCTACCAACCGTTACCAAGGCGCCACGGTGGTCACCCCGTTTATTATTATTTAGCCATTATATGCTTTGAATAATAAAAATACTCCCGTGGCGTCCTGAGCGAAACATGTGATTTCGGCGTGGCAGTCAAAGTGTTAAAACAGTAGAGAGTAGAGAGGAGAGCAGGATGATAGTAATTAACCCTTTCGCGGCTAGCGCCGGTTATATCCGTCATCCAACTCAAAGTGAAGATTTCTTTTAAAATACAGAACAAGGCCTCAACAACATTCCCTTTATCCAATACATCCTTAAATCCTCCGCTGTTCCAACGAAATCCTCTAAGATTTTACACGGACACTCTGGGAGCTCGAAAAACGCGAGACACTCATGGTGTGCAGTAGTGGCACGACGACCCGTCCGTTAAAAAGGCAGTCCGCGAACGCTGTTAGGTGTATTAAGGGGACGATGCAGTCGCCATTTATTAAACCTGCCCTCTACAGACCGTTTCACCTCTCGGCTCTCCCTTTGTACCGGATTGTCGCGATCGTTTTCGGCGCACGTCTCCCAAGGGTTAATTTCTTCGGCGATATTTATCGCCCGGTCCCCCGTCGCGACGCCCCGAGCGGCGTTGCACGCGAGGAACCGTCTCTCCCTACCGCCCCTTTTCCCTCCGACTAAAACCCGCCACCGTGAAAGTTTAGATTAAGTCGCCGGGTATAATGCGACGAGTGCGGCCAATTGGACGAGTTTCGGTTTGAATTATGGCCCGTGCGAGATTGCAGCCCCGCCGCGAGGAAAGAAAGTATTTAAGGGTTGCAAACGAGGGGAGAAACTGGCGAACGGACAAAGCGAAGAGAGACTGTTGCGGCTGTGAGTCGCGACGAAATCGGATTCCACTCGGA